TGAAGAACAATATGAGGTGACATCTAGTCCCCCTACTGATGTACATTGCATGTATAAGGTGACCTCTGGTCTCCTTATTGATGTTCAATATAAAGTGTTTTCTCGTCTCCCTAATGATAACCAATAAAAGGTAACCTCTGGTCCTCCTACTGAGGTACAATACCTGTATAAGATGACTTCTGGTCTTATTATAGATGTTTCAATATTAAGTGTCTTCTTGTCCCCTTACTGATGTACAATATAAGGTGTACTCAGGTCCTCCAAATGATGTACGATATAAAGTGACCTCTAGTCCCCCTTATGATGTACAATACATGAATAAGGTGAACTCTGGACTCCTTATTGATATTCAATATAAGGTTATCTCTGTTCTCCCTATTGATGTAAAATCCAAGGTGACCTTAAGTACGCCTACTGATGTACAATATAAGGTGACCCCTGGTCCCCCTACTAATGTAAAATATAAGGTGACCCCTGGTTCCCCTACTTATGTACAATATACTCCCAGTACTTGACCTCTGGTCCCTCTAATGAAGAACAATATGAGGTGACAGCTAGCCCCCCTACTGATGTACAATGCATGTATAAGGGGACCTCTGGTCTCCTTATTGATGTTCAATATAAGGTGTTTTCTTGTCATTCTACTGATGTACAATATAAGGTGACCTCTGGGCCCCTAATGAGGTACAATACCTGTATAAGGTGACTTCTTGTCCCCTTGCTGATGAACAATATATGGTGACCTCTGGTCCCCCTACTGAGGTACAATACCTGTATAAGTTGACTTCTGGTCCTATTACTGATGTTCAATATTAGGTGTCTTCTTGTCCCCTTACTGATGTACAATATAAGGTGTCCTCTGGTCCTCCAAATGATGTACAATATAAAGTGACCTCTGGTCCCCTTATTGTTGTACAATACAAAGTGACCTCTAGTCCCCCTACTGATGTACAATACAGGTATAAGGTGAACTCTGGACTCCTTATTGATATTCAATATACCTGTATAAGGTGACTTCTTGTCCCCTTGCTGATGCATAATATATGGTGACCTCTGGTCCCCCTACTGAGGTACAATACCTGTATATGATGACTTCTTGTCCCCTTGCTGATGTACAATATATGGTGACCTCTGGTCCCTCAACTGATGTACAATATAAAATGACCTCATGTCCCCCTAATGATGTATAATTCATCTATAAGGTGAACTCTGGTCCCCCTACTAATGTACAATATAAAGTGTCCTCTGATCCCCCTACTGATGTACAATATAAGGTGACCTCTAGTCCCCCTACTGATGTTAAGTGCAAAATAAAGTGACCTCTGGTCCCCCTCCTGGTGTACGATATAAGGTATCTCTGGTCCCATTACTGATGTGGAGTATAAGGTGACCTCTGGTCTTCCTGCTGATGTACAGTATAAGATGACCCCTGGTCCCCCTACTGATGTACAATATAAGGTGACCTCTGGTCCCCTTCTTGTTGTACAATACAAAGTGACCTCTAGTCCCCCTACTGATGTACAATACAGGTATAAGGTGAACTCTGGACTCCTTATTGATATTCAATATACCTGTATAAGGTGACTTCTTGTCCCCTTGCTGATGCATAATATATGGTGACCTCTGGTCCCCCTACTGAGGTACAATACCTGTATATGATGACTTCTTGTCCCCTTGCTGATGTACAATATATGGTGACCTCTGGTCCCTCTACTGATGTACAATATAAAATGACCTCAAGTCCCCCTAATGATGTATAATTCATCGATAAGGTGAACTCTGGTCCCCCTTCTAATGTACAATATAAAGTGTCCTCTGATCCCCCCTACTGATGTACAATATAAGGTGACCTCTAGTCCCCCTACTGATGTTAAGTGCAAAATAAAGTGACCTCTGGTCCCCCTCCTGGTGTACGATATAAGGTATCTCTGGTCCCATTACTGATGTGGAGTATAAGGTGACCTCTGGTCTTCCTGCTGATGTACAGTATAAGATGACCCCTGGTCCCCCTACTGATGTACAATATAAGGTGACCTCTGGTCCCCCTACTAATGTGCAATATAAGGTGTCTTCTCTTCCCCTACTGATGTACAATATAAGGTGACCTCTAATCCCCCTACTGATGTACAATATAAGGTGTCCTCTGGTCCCCCTACTAATGTACAATATAAGGTGTCCTCTCTTCCCCTACTGATGTACAATCTAAGGTGACCTCTGGTCCCCTACTAATGTACAATATAAGATGTCCTCTCTTCCCCCTACTTTTGTACGGTTTAAGGTGACCTCTGGACCTCTTACTGATGTACAGTATAAGGTGACGTCTGGCCCCCTATTAAATTAAAATGAAAGGTGACTCATGATCGCTCTAATGATATGCAATATAACGATAGGGTAAGGTAAGTTACAGTATAATATAAGGTTACCTCTGGTCCCTCTAATTACTTTCATGTTTCTGCTAATATATATATGAGAACGTAGATCTGTGTAAATTAAATTATAAATATGATTATTTTGGAGTAAGACAAAAACAACTGTCTATCATATAAAATTCAATTAATATATAAGGTGACCTGAGGTCTCCGTATTGGTATCGTTGAAATTACTTTTGTGCCTTTAATGCCTGAAGAGTTCCTAAAATGTTTTATTACTACGCAAAATGACGAACTATTTGCGGGGGACCTCAGGGCCTAGTTCAGCGTACGTTTTATCCTTCTGCAAATCGCCCGTAGAAACGGTGACGATGATAATCAGACACACAGGGGATAGAATGTAAATAAGAGACTTGTTTATAGATGGTTTCAGCGATTTTTAGCGGGTCATGGGTCACTGAATAATCAGCAGAGGACAGAAAGACCGAGAAAGGGAGAGCGAGTGGAATTGTTCTTGAGAGACGATTAGACGGTTAGAGTGATATGAGAAACTTTAAGTTTTTCTTATGGTACTGTTCAAAGAATTTTGACAGATAACTAAATTATGTCTAGTCTGAGTTTACAATGAGTACCAATAATTCTTTTAAAAAGAGAAATATATGTGAATGTGTTCGTGAATCTTAAATATTTTTAATGAAACGAAGGGAAGCGTTTAAGTGTATGACGTCGCGTATCCATCATAATAATGACGTTATTTTGGTGCGGCGACTACCATAATTGTACTTTATATATAATTCGATATTTTGAAAAGTATTCATCATTTTAATTTGAATTTTTCAGGACTGATTTGTAATATATTTAGCTACGATCCTGTTTAATTTCGTTAATGTACGTCGACTAATAGCATTTTTATCGAAGTTGTGACTTTACTTTTGGATCAACCCTCGTATGTGTCGGACCAAAAAGTAAAATAGGAGGTGCACAATGGCAATATGTAATAAAGATTCTGTGAAAGTTTCATCAAATTTCATTCAGTGGTATGAGAGGAGTTGCGGATAAGAGATGGGTACCCCAAAGCGTAACAGACGGACAGACGTACAGACGGACGGAATTAACGATTACTATATACCCTCCCGCTTTTCAAGCGGGGGGGGGGGGGGTATAAAAAGGGTATATAGTATGGGGTCCCCTATCTTACATTCCAAAACGTTGCCCCCCTTTTTTTTCTAGACGTAACTTTTTACTGTTGAAAATATTCATGGAAAGGCCGGTTGCCCCAAACACACTTTTACTTTTTGCTAGTCAATGTCTCTTTTTTTTTTTAGGTTTTGTTAGGTAGACTGAATTTTTTTCGCTGGTTGCACCCCCCCCCCCCTTCATAAACGATGCTACATGTATGTCACTGCGATATGTGATTACAATATATACCGATAATATTGATGACGTAGAAAAACGTGCGGGCCATCTAGCGTTAATTCATGTAATGTCTCTAGTATTAATTCAGGTAATGACTACCAAATGATGTCCATAGCAACAGAGCTGAACAGACATTTTGTACAAACTATTGAAGACATTCCAATGGATAGTTATGATAATTCAAAGAAATAATCTTTATCGATGAAATCTGCAAAAAGTTGAGCATTTAACTGATATTGCATTATTCAAAACACAGGCTGATCATCCAAGAATTACATATAAAATTGAAAATCATTTTCATTGTTTTTCATTTTAAAAACGTTAAATTTTCGGTTTTTACACAAGTAAAGGTTAAAAAAAAACACTTCAGTTTTGGTGGAAAAACCTTCCAATTTCTTCTATATTGATATTTTTTCATGTTTATTTGCTAAATACACTCATGCATCATTAATTAATAAGGAAGTGATATAATGGTATCTCAAACTTTATTTAAATGTCTTTTCCATCATTCATCAGGTAGCTTGTACATGTAGCATAGTGGTTAGTGTGTTGGACTCAAAGCAATATCATACTCGGAATTCTTATCGCTAATGTTAGAATCCCACGCATATCCCATTATTTTTTTTAAATAAAAGAATTTTTCCGAAATTTTTTTTTTCTAAGATAAATTTAAACTTTTGTTTATTCTTTAATAATTAAGAACTTTAAATACATGTAGTTTTAATTCAAAAAATGAATATGATTTTTTTTAAAATCTGAATATATAGACATTCTGCATGCCTTGTTCACCCATTTTCAATTTGATTTTATTGTATGTGGGTTTTTGTTGTTGTTGTTAAACATCCCTCTCGAGAATTTTCGACAATTTTTCTCATATCGAGACACCACTACTTGTTGGGGCTGCAATTTAATACCTATGAAAAAGCACTCAGGACGTTTGCGCATTGAGGAAGCTTTTTATTTACTGCGGCACAAGACCTCGGTTTATTCGGTCTCATCCGAAGGACCACTTCCCACACCCCGCAGTGGATTCGGACCCGCGACGTAAGGATCAGTTCATTACTCCGGGATCTAGAACAGCCAGACGCTTTAACAATGCGCCACGCGGGCAACAAGAAGCGGACGAAGGCAAATTTTCAGTAGAAAAATATCAAGACTGAACTGTCTTGCTTTCATTTGCAGAATGCACTACCAAAAAAAAAAACTAACTAACAATTAAATGCTCTTAGTTTTATTCAGTTTACAAATATAAAATTCTATAACTTATAAAACACCGGTAAAAAAAACGGAGGAGTCAAACTCCAGACTTAGTCTCTTTTACAGAAGGGAGGAGCAGCGTTTGTTTGCAGGTAAAATTTTCCGTGAACATTCTTATCGGCATAGAAACCCATTCTATTGCAGCCATTAGCACATGACTTGCACTTGCCACTGTAGAAGTCCAAATAACTTGTACATAAGTAGGCTTTAAATTCACACGAGGAATTAATGGACTCTGTAAAGAAGTCGATAGCCCGCATGTGACTGCATGCTATGCTTGATGAAATCTCTGTGAAAAGAAGAATATATAAATTAGCATTTATAAAAGAATATTTTTTTTCTGAGATCTGATGTACATGTATATATGATATGATGGTCATTTCGAGAATGTGGACACTAAACATTTAAGTGCTACATTAGAAACAGTAAAACAAGAGGCCAATGGGCCACATCGCTCACCTTAATTGCTCTGATCATGCTTGTAGTACCTATTATTACCCCACCTTACCCCACGTGTAAATGACCGTCAAATTTGGACAATTTAAAATCTACATTACCCCATGATTCTTTCACATAAGTTTCAGCTTTTCTGGCCCAGTGGCTCCTGGGGAAGAAATTTTTAAAAGTTTTTTCCTATACATTTCCATGTAAAACTTGGATTCCAAAATTTGGCCCCGCCCTACCCCCGGGGATCATGAATTGAACAATTTTAAATCTACGCTACCAAAGGATGCTTTCACATAAGTTTTAGTTTTTCTGGCCCAGTGGTTTTTGAGAAGAAGATTTTAAAAGAATTTTCCTATATATTTCTATGTAAAACTTTGATTCCCTATTGTGGCCCCGCCCAACCCCCGGGGTCATGATTTGTACAATTTAAAATCTACACTACCCCAAAACCCAGAATGCTTCCACATAAATTTCAGCTTTTCTGGCCCAGTGGTTCTTGAGATGATTTTTTTTTTAATTATTTATATTTCTATGTAAAACTTTGATTCTCTATTGTGGCCCCGCCCAACCCCCAGGGGTCATGATTTGAACAATTTAGATTCTTTACTACCCCAGGATGTTTCCACATACAAGTTTCAGCTTTTCTGGCCCAGTGGTTCGTCAGAAGAAGATTTTAAAAAGTTTTTTCCTATATATTTCTATGTAAAACTTTGATTCCCTATTGTGGCCCCGCCCAACCCCTGTGGGTCATGATTTGAACAATGTAGAATGTACACTACTCCAGGATGCTTCCACAAAAGTGTCCGCTTTACTGGAGTGGTTCTTGAGAAGAAGATTTTTTAAAGACCCCACCTTATTTTTGCTTTTCTTGATTATCTCCCCTTACGACAAAACTTGGCCCTTCATTTTAACAATTTAAAATTGGCCCAGCGGTTCTTGAGAAGAAGTCGAAACTGTGAAAAGTTTACAGACGGACGGACGATGGACAAAATGTGATCAGAAAAGCTCACTTGAGCCTTCGGCTCAGGTAAGCCTAAATGCCATAAAGCAAAGAGTACTAAACTAAAGAAACAGCAAGAAATATGGTACGTACTTCCCATTTTTCCTTGGAAGAAATTCAGAATGTTGCTCCATAAACTGCGCTTACATCCGGGTTGTCTAGTGCCCCCGTTTGGATAGAAGTCAACATGTCCATTCGGTATCCTTATTCCAAAAGCTATGGCAAGCAAAAATATGAGTTTAGCCAACTACTTCAAATTGTTTTAGCCAACTACTTCAAATTGTTTTTTTGTCCCGTGGGGATCCGGGTTAGAATAGGTCCTCAGTACCCCCTTGCTTGTCGTAAAAGGCGACTTAATGGGGCGGTCCTTCGGATGAGACCGTATAAACCGAGGCCCCGTGTAACAGCAGGTGTGCCACGATAAAGATCCCTTCCTGCTCAAAGGCCGTAAGTGCCGAGCATAGGCCTAAATTTGCAGCCCTTCACCGGCAATGGTGACGTCTCCATATCAGTGAAATATTCTGGAGACCAGTGGAGAGGGGCGTTAAACAGTATGCAATCAATCAATCAAATTGTTTTCCTCTGAATGAATTGTTACTGTGTAATTTTTACTTACCCATTTCTGCCAAAGAGGCTCCGTCGGTATGAATGACGTCAATAAAATTTGCGTCAGAAGTCTCTAACCTCACTTTGGTGTCATACCTTTCAAAATATAAGCCAGCTGGGTCTAATCCTGAAATTCAGAATCAAAACCTCTGTATCAATATCCTTTAATAATGGAGAGAGGGAGCGAGAGAATGAATATGGTAGTTATTATATACCCGTGATTCTGCCAATTCCTCGCACCCAGTCCCCGGCGTACCCCATGATATGGGCACCGAGACTGTGTCCGATAAGATGGACCTGTGTCAGAGGTAAGCTGAAGCTGTCTCGTAGAACCTTTATCATGTTTCCAATGGTGGCGCCCACCACGCGGGTATTGGCGGCGGACTGACGGTAAATTCTTCCTTGGGTGCCCTTTGACCAGTCAACAGCTATCACATTCATGTCTCCCTGAAAGAGAATATAATTTTAAAAGTACTACTCGATTTGATATATACTTAAAGTACCAGTTAAAACATTCTTGGATTCTCTTCAAAATTTGCAGAAAGTTCAATGATTATGCAAATTTCTCTCACAGTTTAAAAATAAATGTTCAACAAACGTTTTGTTATGCCCCCGGAATAGAAATTTCTGAATACATGTATGTACATGTAGTATAGGTTTTTGTCAAGTCCCTCCGCTTGTCTGTCCGCATAGACTTTACCTTTCCCATATCTTTTGAATGGATGGGGCTATGGCTTTCAAATTTTACAGGCGTTTTTTCTTGTGACAAGACCTTTCTTTTGGTACCATCAAATTTGACCTCTTGTCCTTGACCTTAGATTTGGTCTACTTTTACAAAACACATACCAAACTTTAACCTTGACCATAACTTTTTAAAAGTTGTCCAGAGCTAGGGCTTTCATTCCTCATACGTGTGTTCATTGTGACAAGATAAATATTTTTGACCTTGACCCTCAAGTTTGACCCATTTTGTAAAAACAACTTGAATCTAGGTCATAACTTTTGAACAGTTAGAACTAGGACTTTCAGATTTCACAGGTGTACTAGAATTCCTTGCGAAAAGACCTTCTTGATACCAACAGTTTTGACCTTGGAGTTTGACTTGCATTTGAGCCTTCACGGTACGCCATAAACTGCCATACGGGAGCATAAATGTTTCACCAACACTCTTGTTTTCTTATTGTAGTTGGAGTCATACTTTGCTTGTCCCTGTTTTTGCGAAAGCAAGGGGAAATTAAGCCTGTCAAAAAACTTCAACTTTGAGTACAGGGGTACTTCCAGTTTAGCATTATTGTTCAATAATAACTAGCATTTGTATGAATTTTTCAGAGAAATACCAACATTTTGGAGAAGGGCGTCTTTCATCTCTAGTGGCCATCCAGATTTAGCTGTATCTTGGAATCCGTGGGTAATAAAAACAGTCGGCAGACTGGAATCAAAGTGTGAACTGGAGACGGTGTTTGTATCATAAGGATTCAGGATCTGGGCGGTATCTCTGTTTTGTCTGGTGTACAGGTTGAAGGTGGTATCAATAGTACTTGGAGACTGGGGCAAGGTTCTCTTTGCATTATTGAACGGCTCTGCGTTGCTGAAACATCCTATGTTTGGGTAACACACTTGCTTTGGCTTTGGTTTGAAAATCCACCACCCTAAGAAATACCAGGGTATTTTTTATCATATACCAATATAAAGAATGTCCAAATGCAGCGATCTCGAAGTTTTAACTTGTTTAATTCTGATTCGAGACATTTTGCACTGAACATTAGAGTTTTGGATTTAATTCTTCAAATACCAGTTAATATTTTACCTTGGGTGGATGAAAACAGAAGCAGAAGTGTTAAGCTTTTCAACATCATGGACGAATATGGAACGAGTTTATCAATTAACAGCTGAAAAAGAAATAAGAGATGCAGCTTCTAACATCACATAGCATATTACAAGAAGATGCCAAGAATGTATACCTTAATATGTATTTTAGATACCATAATAGACTCAGACAGGTAAAACCAGGGGGACCATAGGTTTCCTCCTCGTCCGTTGGTCCGTCTGTTCGTCAGACTGTCCCATTCTTTTCTTTTTTCTCTAAATTGCAGCAGGTATAGAACTGATTTTTGGTAGGGGGTTGTATCATGATGCCTTACAGATCAAACCGAATATCGTTTCGCTTCAATTATTCTTTTTAGGGGATTACGGTCTAATTTTCAAGGGTTTTTCGTTGATGTTAGAGAAAACCAGAAGACTCTGTCGAGACTGTAGCTCTACTGGCTTGCAGTATATCAAAAGAAGAGGAAAGTAGCAGTTGGACTTGAAACTTAACAACAGCAATAAATAGAATAATAATCCTTGGTTTAGTCTGCTCCCGAATCCGGCTTAATCTGTAGGACTAACGGAATTTCACAGATATTTCTAATTTTAGGTAACCATGGCAACACGTTTATCGCAATCAAAAACCAAAATATAAAATCATAAATCTGAAAGTTGCCTACTTGTGTGCCAATTTAAACTGTAATCCAACAAAAACTGGAGGAGTAGTGTTTTGAATTTTATTTTGATTTTGAGTTTTGTATTCCAAAGAAATTTTTGTTCAATGAAGTCCAAAACTGATTAACAGAAATATTTATTAACCAATAAAAGTGAATAGGATTGGGCAGCAGGAAAGCCTATTTTATCCCTCTCCCTAAACAGAAATATGTATCCAAGTGTAGTCTAGTTGTGCCAAGTTATATTGAAATCAAACTAAAATTGTAGGAAGGGGTATTGTTTTAAAGTATTTCACAGAAATTTCTATTTTTCATAATTACGGCAACGTCGGTTTTTGAAAATTATGTATCTAAGTGTAGTCTACTTACACGCAAGTCATTTTGAAATCAGAACAAAATTCTTAGGAGTAGCGATTTAAAGTAACTCCTAAATTTCTATTTTTAGTAACCACGACAACACTGTTCACCAAAAATCAAAAACCGATATACATATGTATAGAATTATGTATTTTAGTGTAATCTTCTTATGTGTCATGCTATATTTGAATCTTTAATCGTTCGTTCTCGTATATGTTGATGATACTGTTCTTTTGTTGGACACATCGGAAGATCTGCAATATTAAAGAATTATTCCCAAAAGCAATAAGACTAGGTGTATGTATGTTATTACGGTATAAGGAAGAAATCACAGTTTCACTGTAGAATGTCAGTAGATGGTTTGATAAAATGGCTTATAATTTTAACGATTCATTCAACTTAATAATTCATTAGATTTTTTAGACCGTTAATTCACCCGGATCCAATATTTTAATGATTGAATATATATTACTGTATGTGGTAGTTAAAAATTGCATTAAATTTTTTTAAAACAAATTTTACATCAAATTTCATCTACATTAAATTTTATGGTATACGGTGAATTAGATCGATATCCTATTTCAATTAATAGAAAGGTAAGCATGATGAGTGTTTCATGTAAAGTAACTTTTTCACATGGTGATATCTTACTGCCACCATGATTCGTAAGTTTTCAGAAACAACAATTTTACATGTTGTAATTATATAAAATCTATACTGAATGACTGTCGTCTTTCTTATATCTGGCAATCTTGCCGTGCATAGATCTTGGGTGAAGACAGTAGTATATAAGACCACATTCCTGTTTTAGGGTCTGGGAGCCGTAAACAGCCCAGGAAGGAGACCAGGGCAAATCTGATCAAATTAAGATAAAACTTAACAGATCAATAAGGCGACTTTCCCTTTAGCATTGAGTTGATAATTAGGAAGGGAGCAATAAATTTGAAAAGTGTTTTCATAACATATTACATATGCGGAATATTAAGCTTGATTTTCCTGGGTATTTTTACCTGTGTATTTTTACCTGTGTATATTGTAAATGAGAAGAATTCGAGGAATATGCAGCCCGTTTTCATTTAAAATTTCAAGATCTTTAAAGAGAAAAAAGTATTACATACTATATATCTTAACCCTGTCGATTTCTCATGTTATTATAAATAAATCAAAGATACATTTTTTGAGTGATAGACTGATTTATTTCAAGTGATACCTGCGACATATATATATTTCAGATGAGTTAAAAATACGCATTCATACATGTACTTATATCAAATAGTGATTATAAATGGTTTCTTTGTTTTACTATTGTTCCCAAAAAGATTTTCCCTATTTATTTTTATGTAAAACTCTGATCGCCCATTGTGGTCCAACTACACCAAGGGGATTTGACACTCGCGGTATGAATATAAGATGATGCTTTCATGTGTTTCATATTTTCTGACTCAGTGGTTCTCGAGATTTTTTCAAAATGACATTAATTTTTCACTATTTTTTCACAGTAATTTATATTTAGTTGATCGCGAGGTGCATTTTTTTAAATAACAGGCAACGCCTACTTCTTCGGGGATTTTTTTTATGGAGGCGTCACTACTGGTCGAGAAAGTGACGTTAACAGACAAACAAATTGATAATTGGCCGATAGTCAGCTAGATGGACAGATGTTCACCGTAAAACAGGTTGAGACCAATCGCCCAAATGGGATATACTAGTAATAGCTCGTTTGGGATATAATATCTCAAATGGGATATAAATTTACAAATGAATGCAAAAAATGAAAATTTTAATCTTGAAAATATCATAAATCTTCATCAAGATACTTATGAAGGAATACATTTTGGTTAATAAGTTTTTTTTTCTCTATGACCACTGTTTAAGAGATTGATCCTTCGGAAGTTCGTAAACTTCAATCTATCTATCAATCTAACAACACATATAGGGTTGGAGAAAAAACTTGCTTGCCAAAATGTGACCAAAATGCTCTAGGTGAAGGTGAGACAACAATCACCACTGGTTTGTTGGCTTGACCAAAAAAAAACCATCAGTAAAAAAACATTGTCTACTTCCCACAATTGGATTCGAACCCTAGAGGTATGAAGCAACTTCATACTTGGGAGTAAGAAGACTCTAACCACGCGCGTGACAGGATTCGGCGATATCACACATATCAATCGAACACCTCCGTAACAGAGGTTTTATATCACATTCTGTTGATCGAGAATTTATTAAGTATACAAAATAAGAGATTTGTATTTTATATATATAAGCAGTTGTTGTTTTTGGCCACACAGGTTGTATTCCGCCATTATTTGGTGATTATCAAATTTATACGTTATGTTCTTAATACCTCTTAATTCAAGAGTTAACTTAGTAAGATAAATGCTAACAGGAATTGAAGCATATAAAATCTTGGACACAAAAGAAAGTTTCAAGACTTACTTGCCTTTCTCCTTCTTACAGTGTTGTTTTATCCGAATCCCAATGAACGAGTGTCATGCTTTCTTGGTCTTTAAAGAGATACGTAGTACCACGTGTCTCATGTTTTCCCAGGCCTTAAACTTGTACGGTGGGTAAATCATAATGTTTTGATACGCTCTGTTGAAGCTGAACGTTAATACAATGAAGCGCACTAGGTGGGGAAATTTTTCTTTTGAATGCAACGTTTGAGTGTTCCATTGGTACATGACACGCCAAGTTCTTTAAAAAAGAGAAAAAAAAAAGAATTGTCCTAATGCTTAAGGACATCCCACTCTTCGCGACTAGCAAGTAAAAGTTAATTACACCGAAATCAAGCTTCATACACACTTCTTGCAAACAGTCATTGCAACTAATTTGTACAGAGCTACTAATTTATCATTTTCAT